GCGTCTGGTATCTTGCAGTGCAATATTAGTTTTTGTATAAGTTTTGTCATCTCTAGGGTTAAACTTTCTCATCCGTATTTTAAAAGCTAGTTGGTTATTCCATCTGGTCCTGGTGACTTTCTATTTTTGAGTGAATTTATGACTATTTCTACTTCGTGAAAACTGATTTCTATTTCGTCTCTTAGTTCAGGTACGTTATTGTGTTGATTATTATTTTTCTTTGCTTTAAACAGTTCTATCAGGTATCTTTCCCATTCGTTTGCTGGTATATTATTGTATTCCTTGAAGAGATTGATGATAATATTATTTGTGAAGAATCAATAAAATCAGATATTGCAGGTACATATGAAATACAAGTGATTGGGAATTCTAACGATTCTGATTATGATATTCCTCTGAACCAAAGATAAAACGTCCAAAAAAAAAACCAGGCAAAAATAGTAAATCCAAATGTATCTCAAGTTGTAACAACGGATATTCTTTCGTGCTCAGTAATAATTCAACATCAGTCTGATTGATATTTAGACAATATAAAAGCCAACCATGTAGGCAAGTCATATATTGAAGTTTTTTCACCCTTTTTGATAAAAAAGTAATTGAGAATAACCGTCACAATTTTGAAATGAATAAGCATATGTATATTATCTGGTTTACACTCTGCTTCAAGTTGATATGCATTGGTCAAAGGATGAGGATAAAGAAGTGCATATTATAAGAGAAAGCATGAGCCGACATAGATTTATAATTTTAATTTATAATAGTGAAGAAACCGCTACATCAGTGTCAGTACATGGGCGTCAATCTAAATTTGCTTCACTTTATTTATGTAAAAAGTGTAGAATGCATCTACACCCCGAATATTTCGAAAATTTTTACCTTAAAATTTAAGTTACGATTAAACAATATGTTCCTTTATTAAAAATTGTACTGTTTTCCTTAAAAATGAGAAAAAAAATCTTTTTGGTTGTAATTTATTCATAATTTGTGTTTTTAATCCAATCTAATAAATTAATTGTCAAATTTCTCTTTGTATATTGAGCGGCCGTTAAGAGTTTAATACTATATAAAGAATAAACTGGCCTCAAATTTACTTTACTTACCTCAAAACTATTTTAAAGTTAATAATAAAGAGTATTTAATAAATATATTCCCAATAATACACTACGCCTATGTTCTTCTCGTGCCACTCCTAGCGGAGATTGGAAATCATCATGGCCACTGCGACTTTGTTAGCAGCGCGCCTAAAAAGTTCAATCGAACTACACCCGAACCATTCACGTAGATTACGAAGCCATGATATTTTTCTTCTTCCCACACTTCTTTTCCCCTTAATTTTGCTCTGCATGATGTTTCTTAAAAGTTCGTACATTTCACCTCTCACACATATGTACGTACGCCTATGTACATATATACAAAAACTGGAAGATATCATATTTCATAAACTTCAATAAACTAAAATATCATATTTCTCTAATTAACATTCTTTCTAAAAACGTAAATATATATAGACCAGCAAAATATTGATAATTTTACCGATATTCCAAACTATTCTATGAACTTGTCTCACTATACACTCGTGAATCGCAACAATTTATATTGTTACGGGGGCAAATTTATCTTAGATGGGTTACAAATTTACATATTTACATGGGCGAAGCATACACAATAAAAATGACCCCGGTAAGAATTTACTAACGAAATTTTTCACGGTTGCCGCTACCGTTTAGTTCAATGTGTAGATTAGTCACCTTTAATTGAAAATTGTCCGACTATAGATGTCTAGAAAATCAATAAAATCTCGTACAGCAAAGAATTACAGTAAAACTTACATGATATCTTATAAAGAAATTGTGGGATTTTCTTTCTATTTTTCGGTTCCGACTTGGTTGGTACTATCTGGTTTTTCAACATCCATAAAATGCCCCAAATGATTATCCTGTACATTTTTGTTTATTTTTTCATAAAAAATACTTCTGATGGTCCTAATATCATCTTCGGATACTTCATTACAGCAAAAATCGATTAGGGTGATTACAGGAAAAATCAACGAAATGTTACAAATTAGGATAATGATTTGATTGCCTTGAAAAGAGAATGATATTAAAATATTAACGAAAACAACATAAAAACTTAAAATGATATTGTGTAAACAATACCAAAATACAAAAGTAACCTATAAGTCATTAAAGCTTAACTAACATTGCTTTTACACTCTTTAGAAGTTAGATGACTTTTTTTGCTACCGCGGTCCGTATCAACAACTACATGATCTCTTTTCACAACTGCATCCATTATTTTATATTGTTTTGTTGAAAATCGAAAAAACAAACGCACATAAAACAAACTTAACAGTATAGACACCAACTATACAGTGACAACGACCGCCAACGACAAACAAATCGCAATTAGTCCATAGCGCACGCACAAACTTCGTTTAGTTCGTCTACCGTCAATGGACATACAGCACATAGAAAGTCCAAGGTATTTTCTTCATTTAATTTGCAGACAGCAGAATGCATTTAGAACGTCTTTCGTGACACAAAATGGTGGTTCTAGACATATAGTTTGCGATGCCAGTTTTGGTTGAAAATTTGAAAAAATGGACAAAATGCAAAGAGAAGGTCTGCTCCTCAAGTGGTTTCACCAATGCCTTTACCAATTTTTAAAGAAAAATTCTCCGTTTTGTAAGTTTGTTGGTGTCCATTGGGGATTTATCATCATTTTGGCTTTATTACCCTGTGTAGGTCCTAGCCTCCCCAAGAATTCTCTTCCAGTCGTCCCTATCCATCGCCTTCCTCCGCCAAGCACGTATTTCCATATTTCTCATATCTTGGTCTATGTTATCTAGGAATCTTGCTCTGGGTCTTCCTCTTCTTCTTTGACCAATAGGTCTATCAAGGAGCGTTTTTCTAGCTGGGTCGGTTTGCTCCATCCGCATTACATGGCCTACCCACCTCAGACGTCCTATCTTAATGTGTTTTATGATATCTGGTTCCTGGTATATTCTATAGAGTTCAAAGTTGTATCGTCTTCTCCAGCCACCATTTTCATTTACCGCTCCATAGATTCGCCTCAGTATTTTTTTTTTTTTTCGAAACATCCTAACATGTTTTCATTGCTTTTTGGGGATTTATTGATGTCCATAAAACGAACGCGTTGTAGGCAGAAATGTCCAGCATATTATAAAAAACAATCATAGGCCAGCGATTTGTCTTCCTCTTACGTGTATATGTACCAACAAGCTGATAGAGTATCCACTGCTCCCTTACTGGAATTGTAATCTAAAATAAATTGGGGTTTTTATCATTTCTGCTATTAATAGCCTTATTATGATGCAAAGTACTTATAAGAATAATATTTTTATTATCCAGTCTAGTAGTCTTGTTATCAAAACGTATTGCGAAATTTTTGTAAATACTTCCAGGGACATTAATGCTTGAAATACACTACGACCCGTTTCTTCATTCCACAAACTTTTAGTTGATTTGCCATGGGACTTAACTAGCTAAACTTAAGCTAACAATAAAAGACTAATGTATGCTTGAAAACCAATTTTATCCAAATCTTTCTAGTTGGTTCCAAAAACACGCTGTCCTTCTATGTTGGTCTTTTGAGGGAACTGTTACAGAAGGTTCTACAGGATGTTGTATGTAGAATGGAACAGCAGAATCATCACTACTTTCTTCCTCACTCTCACTACTTGTATTGTTTTCTGTTTCTTATATGCACTCGTCACTCTCTGAGACGTTCTCTAGATCGCGAAGCTCATCTTTGGTTGGCGTTCTTCGATGCGACATTATCAGCATGCACACATAGACTGAAATTTGAAATGTAAATTAATGCGCTTGGTGTATCAGTGTTCTACCAGCCTACCACTTGTCTATCACCCCCACTTCCTTCTACGTAACATGCCGTTCTAAATGACATCGTCCAGCTACACTACACATTTTTTACAAGTTCTAGCTTGCAGATATAGACGTACCTGATTGACAAACTGTTAAATATATAAAATACTGCCAACTAAACATACGTACACGGGTAATTTTTAACGATTTAAATAAGTGGGTCACATTGACCCGAACATACTATAGGTAACAATTTAATTTTCATCAAAAAAATCAGGAAGTTGATTTTTTATCTCGAATTGAAAGACCTCATATTAGGTAATAGTCACGAAATACCAAAACGTTACGCCGTGTAATAGTTTGCAAAATAAGAAATAAGTTGGGGTCAAATAGACCCGAACAGGACAGCAGGGTTAAAAATTCGATTTCGATGTATATTCCCGAAAGAACGTTACCTACTCTTTGTGTGCAGAAGTTTTCAAGACATGATTGTAAATGCATGAGATATTAATTTTAGAATATTTGTCTCTGTCAAATTAAAAAAAAAATATGAATAACTCAAAAAAAATGACGTTCTGACCTATAGTACCTTATACAAATTTTATCTAGAATATTACACAGACTCTAAAAATTCAATAATATACAGGGTGTTCTATTTAAAATAACAAAGTTGCTGTTCACTTCCGGTATCACCGGAAGTGGCATTACTGTCAACATATTTTTTTTAAGTTTTTCATAACTTATAATCCTAACAAATCAATTTTCATAAATATTGTGTTAAGTAGTTTCCGGCATATAGATAGTATAAGCTCGTCGAGAAAGGTTTGAAGGGTCTGTGTTGTTAGTAACTTTTATTTATGGTTGCTATTGACCTGCGTGCTTCAGTAGAAACACATTTGAGAATAATTTCATAATTAGTACAGCCTTTCAAATTTGTTTGCCAACCATCAAAGCTTTATTATGTATGAACTATTTAATATTATAAATAATATGTATGTGTTAGTCCTATCTTTTATCAACAGCCAATACTATAAAGCAGAATACCGTCATTTGTGTGTTTAAAGAGATTTAAAAAAACTGAATTTCGAAAAATATTTAGAAATAACAATTTTTTAGTTTTATTTCAAGTGCAATATTTTCATATGATTATTTTAGCAACACTCAATATCAAGAAGTAGAAACAGATGACATTTATTATGAAGAACTAGAAGAAGATGAAAATTCCATAGAATATGTAATAGAAGAAGCTGTAGAATATGAAGAAGCCGCTGATGAAAACATTGAATACACCCAGCTTACGACTTTACGTGATGAATACGAATTACACGATGGTATTGAAGAAGAAACCGTTGACGATCCAGAAATACAAGAATTTTTGGACGAGGAAGAGACCCAAGAGGAAGAACAAATGGAAGAAGGAAATGATGAAGAGATAATGAAACTAAACGCTCTTCAAGAAGGAAACACAACAGAAAAAGATTATAATGTTGATGAAAATAACATTAAATTGGAATTCCTGGAATGTGATATGTGCAATAAGTCCTTCCGGACACCTGCTGTAAGTAATAATTTTTGCCCACTAGTTTAGAGTATACAACAATCCAGATTTCTTTTGCCAAAAGTATTCATTACAGGAGTTATAATAGAGAATCTTTAGTATGTTGTAATATTTCTGGCGATGGAGAATCCATGATTGTTTAAAAGTAGTGATTCATATATATATATATATATATATATATATATATATATATATATATATATATATATATATATATATATATATTTACAAGTTGTCCCAAGATATAATCGACGGACTAAAACAAATTAAAGAATAATTTTTTTTTCATTTTATCCCTAGTTACCGAGTTATTGATGAAAACAAAGATTTAAAATTCGATCTTTAAACTTTATTAAAAACGAAGTAAACGTGGCATAGGTTGTTTTGGTGATGTTAAAAATTTATGAATAGTTCGATCAACTGTCATTATTAGAATATTATAACATTTCATAAAACTCCAGTTTTCTGCCAAAATTCGTGCATAATATTGATTTTGACAATCCCTAAATTATTACCTAAAGCACGAACCAAACTAAAAGCATTTTCAACAACATTCAACATAACATTATGACGATCATTTTCGCTCATCGTCCTTGACCTTCCTGATTTAGGCAAATCTTTTGCGTTCCCACTGGTATCAAATTTCCTTATTACTCTACTTACAATTGCTTGATTATTGTTCTGGAATTTGGTATTAAATAATTAGCACACTTCTTGTTGACTGCCAATTTGTCTTCACAACCTACCATAATCAAAACTTCCATTATTTTCCAATCATTTAAGCATTAAGCGCATTGCAAAATTACTTCTTCACTGCATATAATTTATGTCAAATAAACAGCTATTTTACAATTTTTAAAATTTTTTGGTGCATAATTTTTGTAACGGATGATAATGGATGATAAATAAACGAGAGCAACAAAAACTTATATATCCAGTGGCACAAATTTGAATTCGTTGAACAGAAATTTTTACATATTTCCTCCAATACTTCATAAAGTAATTAGATAAGAATAGCTAAACCGTTCAATTGTCTCTGAAATGACTATTTATTTCTTCAATTAGATATAAGGTCGACTATTTAAAAAAAGTCGATGACTTTTTGTGTTGTTTCCAAACTCTATGGAAACAAAATTATTATATACGAATTTTATAGGTTACTGTTGGAACACACTATACATATATATATATATATATATATATATATATATATATATATATATATATACATATTTATACTGTCGATATAAACAAACAACACAGTTTATTAGGGCTGCAGTCAGAAGTTTGGCCTGGATGTTAAAGAAGCACTCTTTTGGCTTTTTGTCTAGCTTCGGAATTGTTTTATTCCTTTTTCAAGACATTGTTATTAAAATATGTAAATATTTTCAAAATATCACAATTCGTCAGTGCAACTTACTAGTCGTTGAGATTATTTATAAAAAGCTTTGCCACTCAATATTAATAACACACATAGAAAATATAAAATAATGTACAAAATACATTCTAAAATTTTTAAAATTTAGGTAAGGATAGTAAAACTTAGTTCATGACATCTTTTGATGGTGTGTTTTAACTCTGATACATAGAGAACAGAAAGAAAAAACAATATGAATAAAATGTAATTAGGTGTTCTTAATATTGTATTTCTTTTCATAAACCTCTAAACTGGGTAATTTTACTGTTAATTTTTAAACCTGTCTTAATGGTATGTAACATGTTATGCATGAAGGTGTATTATGGCGTGTATATGTAGAGATAAATATTTATTTTATTTTTGATGTTTTTCCAGTAAATAACAATAAATGTTGCTCAGTTTATCTATGTCAGATATGACATAGATAAATTGAACAACATTTTCTGTTGTTGCTCACTGTTAGCAACATGTTCTAGTTTCTGTTTCTGCTTAATTTAGTCAATGCTCTAGTTATTTTTAGTTTGCAAACGCGTTTATACCTGAATATTTAGTTTCTGTTTCTGATTAGTTTGGTCAATTCAAGTTTTGTTAAGTTGTTTTTTTTTTAACCTATTCTCTATCCTTCCATTGTTGGATATAGGTCTCCCCCTGTTCTCTCCATCTTTCCCTATCTTGAGCTGTTCTCTGCCATGTGGGACCTCCTTGTTTCCTGATGTCATCTTTCCACCTCATCTGTGGTCTGCCTCTTGATCTCTTTGCATTGTATGGACGCCACTTTCCGATGGCATTGTTCCATCGTCCGTCTTGGAGACGCTCATTGTGTCCAGCCCATTTCCATTTCAGTTTTGCTGCTTGTTCTATCGCGTCTACTGTCTTTGTTCTGGGTCTGATCCACTGGTTACGATTTCTATCTTTAAGTGATGTACCCAACATTTGCCTCTCCATCGCTCTTTGTGCCTTCCTTATCCTATCCAAATTGGTCTGTGTAAATGTCCATGTCTGTGCTCCGTAGGTGAGCACCGGTATTATACAGGAGTTATATACCTTGCTTCGTAAGTATAGAGGGATTGTTTGATTTTTTAGAACGTAAGAAAGTTTGCCGAACGCTGCCCATCCCATTCTTACTCGTCTCGATATTTCGGCTGTTTGATTTTCTCTGTTAGAGAAAATCAAACAAACAAAAATTTCTCTAACAGAAAAAAAAAGTTGTTATTAGTTAATATTTAGATTAATTATTGTTTAACGAGACGTTTAAATTTTTACAAAGGCAGAATGGCACGTACTGTAGCCGTCAAAGTAGCAGCTGTGTTACTAATTGGTGAATGTGGAAATAACTTCCATACAGCGGAAGGTCTTTTTAATGAGAAGTACCCCAATCGCCATACACCAAGAGTTTATTTGAGGAAGCGTCTTAGGAAGTTTAAACAAACAGGTAATGTTCAAGATGTTAAATGATCTGGTCGACAAACAATTAGTGATGACAAAAAAATTGACAGAATTTCAGAAATGGTAGTGAACCCTACTTCTTCTACAGCTCAAGTTGCATTTATCTATGGAATCAGTCAAAAGACAGTACATCGAGTGTTGGCTGAAAACAATATTTCATCCATACAAATTAAAAATTGTGCACCAACTTTCACATGATGACCTACAGCCCGATTACATAAAAAACAATTTTTTTAAGTGACGAAAGTACTTTTTCTCTCGATGAAAATGTTAACACACACAATGTGAGGTATCGGAGTCACACAAATCCTCACAACTTTCGTGAAATACTTACTCAATTTCCAAAAAAAAAAAATAAACGTTTGGGCAGGTATTTTGTAAAACCACATAGTTGGGCCTTTTTTCTCAACAATAACTTAACCCGTGAAGTGTATCTGTAGATGTTACAAAATGCAGTTGAACCGTTAATACTTGCAATTCTGGAGGATAATCCAGATGAATTCGGCAACTTGGAAATAACGCTTCAACAAGATGGTGCTCCTGCACACCATTATGGAGCAGTAAGACGTTATTTAGATGAGGAATATCTACGATAGAATGGCCAGCTCGCTCACTGGACCTCGCATATTAGATTTTTTTCTGTTTGGATAATTTAAATCTAAAGTTTACGCTTCAACACCCGACAATATTGACATTTTGAAACAACTATCAAGTTTTTCAATAAAATATACGAAACAAGTCATATACCAACAGACTTACTACTGTCAACATTATGTAATGATACCGAAAAAAATAAATGCCAAACAGTGTAGCGATCATAGCACTATCAGGCTGATGAGTCATGTACGGACAATTTTCCTAAAAATACTGCACTTGAGAATTTACAACAAAATAGAAGTACAACTAAGTGAAACACAATTTGGTTTTAGATACAACCTTGGAACCAGAGAAGCACTCTTCAGTTTGCAGGTTATGGTTCAAAGATGTAGGGATATCGAACAGTCGGTATATATTATGTGTTTTATCGATTTCGAAAAGGCCTTTAATCAAGTAAACCATGAAAAACTTATAGGTGTCTTGCAACAGGTGGGAATTGATGACCGAGACCTCCGTATTATCAAAAATTTCTATTGGCACCAATCTGCCAATATACGAGCCAATATGATCGCCAACGTTCGATAATCGGACAGGGTACTAAAAGAAGAAGAATTGTTGAACAATTTAGGACAATTTCCCCCGAGACATTTGAGCGAGTGCGGCAAGAGTTTAGAAATATGATGCATTACTAGCAGGAAGTAGATGGAGCACATTTTGAGCACTTACTATGAGTACTGTTTGTTAAATATCTATTAATTAAATAAAAAGCTACAACTTTAGTATTTATTTCATTTATTTATCAAAATGAGCTTAAACTCACAAAATTATTATAACTGAATAGATATTTTCAATACCTTTCAAACGAGGTATCACTTACCATACGGTCCCATTTAAAATTATCTGTCACAGTGGTGAAGAGGATTATGTTATTTGATATAACCAGCGTGGTACATGGTATTGAATTGGTTTGTGAATGTTTTATAGTTAATAGTATTTCAGCATTTTTTTCTATGAACCATTTGTAATTATTTTCGTTTGCCAATATTTTGATGTTATCTTATTCAAAGTCGAAATGGTCGAAAGTGAAATGTTGAATTTTTTTTGTAATACAATCAGTCTTGTATTGTGTTATCCGTTGATTTTGCCACTGTTCTGTTTAGCCAATATAGCAACCATCACATTCACTGACTATCACAGACTACCAAATTATTAGGTGTAGTCCATACTTCTTTTTACACTGTCGCCATTGAATATAAAACAGTCGTCATTTTAAAGTCTCTTTAAAGATCCACAGAAAAATATAGAAACATATTAATTGACATAAAAGCTTTCAAAAAGTCTTACACATCATATATTTTCATTTAAGAAAAATTTCGATGGTGTCATATGTGTCATGAGCTTATGGGAAAATGGAAAGTGATGCCATTTCAAATAATTTTACTAAATAGCGCCAGTCACCTTTTACCTCACATAAAAACAGTCTTAGTTGAGGAACCCAAAAATTTATTAATTTTAAGTTTTATGGTTCATAAAACAGTTGGTTGGGTAGAGGGGCGGGACGACTTTAAACGTGTACGGTATATTAGTTATGTTTGAAAATATAGTAAAAATAAAAAATATTTTAGGGTTTGAAACGCCACATCACAGTGAACCACGAAAAACGCGATGAATTCGAATGTGATGATCCATTAACTTTGAAGTTGTGTCCATGTTGTGGAGAGCCGTACGATACAGCACATCAGGTGAATTTTTTGTATTATTTGTTTTCTTTGGTTTTATATTAGCATAGCTCGTGCTCGGGGTTTTATGTGTTTTTGATTTAAAAAAAAACGAGAATTATTTTTTTTAATAAATTTAACATTATTATTGGTATTATATACTGGTAAATAAATTTCATCATCCTGTTAATATATCGCTATTTTTAAGTTACTTTTAATCTGAGACTTTTTTAAAAATTTAAATTTTAAAATTTCCTGTCAGTTAGTCACCATTTACAAGTGATTTAAAATCTGTTCAAAATCTGCTAATTAGGACAAAATATTGTGATGGTTGCACAATATACACATGTTAAAATGACTACAATCCCGAGGAGTAACACCATCTTGCTCCTTACAGAGCATGGTATAGAGAGCAGCGCAGTGAACTTTGGGGAATTATATCCTTAGCACTGGTAGGAACAAAAGTGCACAGTTCAACGGAGTGCTCAGAAATGGCTGACCGTTTTGAGTTTAGAAATAAAAACACAACAGGAGAGCAGAGAACTCAGGTCACTGACTCTGTCTCCACCCCAAGGGTGTCTCCCAAGTGCCCCAGAGACTCCGAACCTCCAGCATAGTAAGACATTTTCGGCATAACTTACTGTTGCTATGAGAAGAGTCGATGTATCTTTGATACAAGAGACCTGTGTTTACCAGGGCCAAATAAGAGGTCTATCGGACATTTGTCGTCTATTACCCGATAATGACCTGGCATCTTCTGGAAGTTCTCGACATTCCCATACTACTCTAGAGTCTACTTTAGGGTTCCTGAAAGCCCCCATAGCCGTTTGACTATTTGTGCATATATTGATCCACTTAAGTTCGAAACCCCGATAGTTAATTCACGTATTTTTTTCATACAAAACTTAATACCATTTCCATATTTTTTGGAAACGAATACTTTGGAAGTCTATGGATATTGTTTTGAACGTCTATCGAACGCCTATCAAACGTGGAGTACAACAGGGTTGTGTTTTGTCACCCAGTCCTTTTAATCTGTACGATTTATATAGAGAAAGATTGGACAGATTTATATAGAGAAAGAACGCGTAAACCATTTTAAATACCACGGCAGCTGCTTAAATGTAAATTGTGACTCTGATGAAGAGATAATACCCATGATCGAAATATCACGTGAGGTTTTTATGACCTGGAAACCAGTTTTATCTAACAGAAACCTGTCGATACATATTCGCAAGAGGTTCCTAGTGTGTGGTCTATCCTATCCTGTCTATGAGACATGGACATTAAAAACAATGATTAACAAATTAGAAGTATTCAAATTGTGGTGGTATCGACGGATCCTCAAAATATGATGGGTTTCACATTCTTTCAATGCAGATAATCTTAACATGATGAATTCAGAACGCTTGCTCACAAATACCATAAATAGAAGAAAAACAGAATACTGCGGCCATAGAATTAGAGAACCCAAATACCATTTACTTCGTCTTATAATACAAGGAAAAGTGGAAGGAAAGAAATGGATTGATCGAAAGAAACTTTCATGGCTGCGTAATCTTAGACAAAGGTGTGGTAGCACTGTACAAGAATTAGTCGCGCAGCAGACGATAGAGAACGGTTTCAGGAAATTGAAAATATGATTATGGCCAACGTCTGAATACAGACACGGCACCTAAAGAAGAAGAATAAATATTAACAAATATCAGGGAGGAATGTTTTTAGTGGCTAATTATGTAGATATTTATATGCGGTGTTCTCGAATTGTTTGGTTCCATTTTGTTACCAACTGTGGTACAAAGTATCATAGATGATACGGGATCAGACGTAGACGTGACTCCGTAGACCTCCCCTTCAACGATTGATTATAATCCATTCCGGGACACAGTCCTATTCTATAAATGAATTTATTACACCCTATATATGTTTATGCAGCCTATTTTGTAACATGTCGCAGAACATGATATTACTGTATCAAAACAAACTCAAATAATGTTTAATACATTTTATAAGTTTACTGTAATTGACTAGCTCTTAAATAATTTTCTGTTGTTTGTTCCTACTTTGTAACTGAATGTTGGTCATGAAAATTGTAGTTATAGAAGTATTATTTTTACAGACCGGTGACTATAAATGCAACTTTTGTGAAAAACTTTTTACCCAGAGCAACTTCCTTAAACGCCACTTAAGCATAGAACATCCAAAAGATGGCAAATATCTTTGCATCGAATGTAAAATTGACTTAGTCACAAAGGAATTGCTTATAGATCATTTACGATTCCATCCGATCAAGTCTGCTAAATGTAAAGAGTGTAATAAAGAGTTTACGAGAAAATATCATCTGGACAGACATATTGGCCAAACAGGTTGTATGGGGCAACCTAGAAAGGTTTTTGAATGTAGGGTAAGTGATTTTAATTAAAAGAATACTAAGAACAACTTTTTGTGATTTTATAATGAGCTTTAATTACTTTATTAGATTTATAAACATGTTTATTATATATTAAATGAAAGATGCAATAGAAAAATAGGCGTAGTTATTTTAATTCCACTGTATTGAGTGGTGTTGCCAGATATTCGCTAACGTATTTGTATTCTCACACTACGAATAAAAATGTAAAAGATTTCAATTCTTTTTAAAATGTTTATACATACGTTATTAGTGATATTAGACCTCTGAGCGCATTTTTTTCAACATATTTAAAGTAGTAGCAACACGGTAATTACTGACAGAAATGTTTCTATACTAATACCATCAACAGTACGAAATTTATAGATTTACTGACCACCCACTTTATCATTTCCTTCTTCTGACCGCTTATTTGACCTTCAGCGACTCAACTCAGGTTTTTTGCATAGCCTTTTTATATACCGGGTGGTGAATCGCCAAACGGGACATAGGAAACCCAATGTAAAATTCTAAATTGTTCAATTCCTGCTTCCTAAATTATTTTACATCAAGTCATAAGAAACTATTTGTAGAGGACTGACATCTGCATTAAAAACGAATGTTAAAGTTGTTCTACGAATTACGAGTACTCCAAAATTATGCAAAAATATAATAAATTTTTCAGGCCACATGCGGTACAAGAATGTGTATGCCATGATGCGTTTGATCATATTGATGATTCTGATATTTGACAATATTTATTTTATGATTAAATTATAAACGGCACATTTTCACTAATACTACTACTACTACTACCACTACTACTAGTAAACAATAAATTAGTACTTTGTAAACAATAAATTATATTGTTTACAAAGCAATAAAGTTGATGAAATGTACTCAGTTCACGAAAAATCGCAATGTTGTATTCAGGCAATAGTGCGTCTTTGGTCCAATAATATTGTGTCTAAATATTCCTAAGCAGACATCTATTTTTCGACGATATTGGGTATGGATTTCAATAATATCCTCAGGCTTTCTTGTCTACCAAATCCCATAATTTTGAACATTTGGTCCATTATTTAATTTAAATGTAGATTAATCACTAAACAAATTGTTTTTTTAAAAATTGTCTGCCTGCATTAGCCCTCTCTAAAATTTCATAACAAAATTCCGCTCATCGTTCAGCATCTCACTCTGTTAGTTCTTGATGACATTGAAATTTATATGAACGGAATTTATTCCTTTTTTAAATTTTTAAGGCCGTGGAATTATGAATATTAAACCGGTCTGCAATGGTCCGAAAACTTATTCTAGGATTTTCTACAATTGCTGTTAATACATATATTTCATTTTGATTTTCTAAATTTCTTGGTACTTCAGCAATATTGTTTGTACAGATAAAATTAGAAATCACAGTATTTTCAAAATTTTGCAAAATCCTTTGAATTTTTTATTATTGCTACTTTTTCCTCAACTTAATACATTTTTTAATCAACTATATTATTTTTTAAACAATAAATCACAAAATAAAAATTTCGACAATTCAAATATAGTCAAATATTAGAAACATCAATATGACCAAACGCATCATGTCATATACATTGTTGCACCTCGTGTTTCCTGACTTTAAGGGGTGGCCTGAAAAATGTATATTTTTGCAAAATTTTAGAGTACGCTTAATGTGTAGAATAATTTTAACATTTGTTTTTAATACATATTTCAGTCCTCTACAAATAGTTTCTTATGACTTTTGATGTAAAATAATTATGGAAGCTGGAATTCAACAAGTTAGAATTTCTCACTGAGTTTCCTATGGCCCGTTGACGATTCACCACCCTGTATTTATAAGACAGGCAACATACCTAACAAGAAGATTAACTTAAATATCCATAATTCAAAATCTCAAATGTAGTTATAATTTTTAAAGAAATTCGACAGGATTTTGGGTAGATGCTGTACTCTCAATAGGGAAACATCAATGGAACGACTCAATTATCTCGGAAACGGTTTACACAATTTGTATAAACTAAACGTACTAAAAATCAAATATATGAACTTAAAGTGTTAGTTGTGAGAGTTTTTAAAGCATGCGTCGCTAGATATATAATAATAGTATACATATTATCACTTGTCAAACCAATGTTGCGCCTTAATTCTATTTTAATTTATCTTTAATACCTCGCGTTTTTAACAGCTGGCAACCTTAATTTCAGACCATTTTTTCTTATAGCTTTAATTTGATATAAAAAACATGCATATTCGTCATGAACAGCGTATTTTATTTAAAAAATAAACGAACGAAATAAAATGAAAATGAAAATTCTCTCTCCTGATGCCAACCATAACGTAGCTTTTTCTTTTTTAATAATTTTAAACTGTTTGTCCTTGTGTAATATAGTGTAATGTACATTTTTATTAAATTCTCAACAGATTGTTGGATAGGCCAAATTGACGAAATTCCCCTGAAGATGCTCTAGGAAACGAAAGTACTTGGGCAAGATTTAATTAATAAACTGTGCTCGATATCTGCTTTTCATTTAAGCAAAGTTAATTACTATTAATTGAATTAAAAAAATATTTGCGGCCACTTATTGTCTGGCAACCTATTATCAATGTATTCTCCTAATTTTAAATGTATATAAAAATGTAAGTTTGATGAACTACGTTATGAACGTAGTGATCCTGCACATCTTGTCAAAGGTGAATGTGATACCTTTGTTTGCAAGTTTAGTCTGTCCGATTTGACTGCGGTAAGGATAACCATCAAGCGATTTGAACAGTCAACATGTAGATGTTTCACTGATATTCAGTTAACACGCAGTGCGTCGAACGTTCCGTCTTGAATATCTAAGATCTGATCGAGAAGGCGTCCTAGATTATTGTTAGTAAGAACTGTTTTGAGACTACCGGAAGAGCTGTTGCTCTGGCACAACAGACTAACAGTGTTACGAAATTACTCAACGACTGCGAACATTCTACTTTTACTAGGGGATGTTAAACACTTTTTGTCGATATTTTTCAGACACTTGTTTCAAACTTGGACTATTATTCCGTCCATTTCTGCATAAGCTGAAATAATGCTCTACTATAAACACTTTCTCCTTTTTTATGTAAACCATTTTCACGATGCTGACGCTTTTAATAAGAGTACTCTTAATTTGACAGGTAATAAAAAATAAGCATTATCACAAAAATACGTATTGCGCGCAATTTAACAGCTGTCTAAATTTCGGGACTGTTTATTTTTTCGAATACCATTATGAAAATTGACGTAAATAATATTATTTAAAGATTCTTTTGAAACACCACATGAGGCAAAATTTGTTTAACTCGATCTACAATATACAGATTGAACGAAATAAATTTGGAACATAGGAAACATCATGTATTTCGGCTCATTTCTGCTGTAGGAGGTTGGCCAACAAAAGGTTGTCAAATAATTATATTATAAAAACCCAATACTTCTGCGGGCTGCTGGATTCTGAACTCATAAAAATTGAAAGCTACACATAAATCTACGATTTTATTATGCTGTCAAACCACTTATAGTCCAGGAAATGAAGCATTTCACCTCGTAATTTTTTCGTCCTGCGTGGATTAACTTGAAATTTTAACAGAAGGTAGGTAATAGCCTAAGGATCAAAATCTATATCGAACCAAAGTGCGCCAAAGACTTGGGGGTGGTTGCCACCCCATCCCGGGGGTGAAAATTTTTTTTTTCCGTTCTACAGGTTTCGATTAACCAATTAATTTTTTTTTTCGGAAAATTCCATTAGTATAGTACAGTACATTTTGGAGCATAATAATCTACAAAACCGGTATATTAGGTAGTGGGGCGTTATACATTCGAAATTTTAAGCGTTCTTATTTTGAAATCCCATACAACAGAATAAAACATTTGCTCATATGTTTATGGCTTGGCAATGAAAATATCAGAGCAACAGACTGGGGATGGTATTCCAAAGATGGTTTGTTTGATACCCGTACGCATGAACAAACAACCTGCACCCGATGAACTTTTGAAAATTATTTTTTGCCAATGCAAAAAAGGATGCGGCGTTTCATGTGGGTGCAGAAAAGTTGGTTTATACTGTAACTTTACTTGTTCTGGGTGCTCAGGTGAAGGGTGCAATAATAGTCCACCAATAATTGAAGAAAATGAGGATGACATAGATCACGATGAAGATGTAATTGATGACGAATAAAATTAATATTATAATTGTTTTACCTATAAATGTAAATATTTTCAACTATTTATGTAAATGTATAAGAATATATGGTGCCTTTTTATGTTGATAAATTTTTTTGTATTTAATTCTTCTTTTTTCAATTTATATCTATTAAATTAGTTTATAAACTGCACCCTTTACAACTGCAATGTTGTAAAGGGTGATTTTCAAAAGTTGAAAAGTTGCAAAATTTTGGCAAAAAATTGTTTTCACCTATAGCACTCATAACAATTGGTTTTTAAGGGTTGAAAGGGTTCATCGGCATGACATAAACTATAAAGCAGAGGGTGAGTTAAGCTTAATTCCAATTTTTTATGCAAATCGTTCCAAGGCGAAATCATTTTCTTCGCATTACTAATTTTTTTACATTAATCTCTAACAAGGGTCGCTTTTTAATGGTTGAAATATGATGGAACTTTATTCAAAAGCACGAAACTATCATTATTTAATTAATTCAAACCAAATTTTACCCATATTCAGGTTTAATATATTATTTTATAATTTTTTGACAATTATTGCTAGTTTTCACCCCTAAGAACAATCAGGGTTCGTCTACATGACATAAACTATAAAGCAGCGTTGAATTGAGCTTAAATCCAAATTTTTATCCAAATCGATTTAAGGCGAAATCATTTTTTTAGAATTAGTAATTTTTTTTTACATTAATCTCTAACAAGGGTTGCTTTTTAAGGGTTGAAATATGATGGAACTCTGTTCAAAAGTATAAAATAATCATTATTTAACTAATTCAAAAAAAATCTTACCCATATTCAGGTTTAATATGTTATTTTATAATTTTTGACAATTAGGGGTAGTTTTCACTCCTAAAACCATTCAGCGCACTTCGGTTCGATATAGATTTTGATCCTTGAGCTACCACCTACCTTCTGTTAAAATTTCAACTCAATTCATGCAGGACGAAAAAATTGCGAGGTTTTAACTTTTTTCGAGCTTCATTTCCTGAACTATTAAAAACTTCCTTAGACAAGCAACATTGTTACACAAACAACATTGTTGTGAGACAGATAGTTGAACGATATTTTATACAATGTCTACAGTGTAGGAAAAAGTTCATGGTCGGTATGGACCTTACTTGAGATTGAGTGAGAAACAGCTGCTTAGAAAGAGAGAGGTATATTAGGTCCGCCCTTTATATCGCCAAACATGTATGCGTGAAAATAATAAAAAAGGGGAAGTTCAACGTTGCCAAACTTATTGGTTTTATTTGACCTGTTGTCTTTTTTGCATTTGAACAATGTTCTAAGATAATCATGTTTGGGCGAAATTGATTTAAATGACAGCTTACTGTTTTTTTATTGGGAATATGCCACAAGTTTACTTTACAATAAGTGTAATATAACATTTTGATTTCCACTTCGGAAATCGTTTTATATAAATAAAATTTATTAATGTTTCGTATTTTAAGTACGATTTCCGAATTAAAAATCTAAACATCAAAATAAGCTTATTTTAAAGTCACATTGTGCCTTATTCCCAATATGAAATAATAAACTGCATACAATAACACCACATTAAAAAATATTCATACACAATAATTATTTGGCAACGTCGTCCGTCTGGTCAGAACACCGAGTAACGAGTAGTAGAGGTGGGTCGTGGTAATTTTATCGTTAAGAGCGTAGGCACAAAATTTCGGACCAATATTTTTTAAATGCATTCATTTTTTTCGAATCATGATAAAACTAATAAATATTCTTGAAAAATTTAAACGCAGAATGAAACAATACATTATTACCGAGGGCCGAAAGTCCCTGAAAGCTGCTATAATGTTTATTTTAATAAGTTATAGTTAAGTTATATAATATATAAATTTTTGTAAACAAGTAACTATGATTGTTTAAAAGTAGTTTCAAGTAAGAGAGTACCTACATAAACAAACATAATGGCTATTATCGTTTATGTGTATATTTATTGAAGTGAAAGAAACTAATGATATATTTATTATAACTTGAAAAATAAACTAAACAATACAAATAGTAAATCTTACTTACATTTACATTACACGTTATTATTAAATCGCGAATAGTCTAAATTGACATTAAAAAACATAAGTTTTTCTACTTTACTTCTTATTAACCGTCTTCTTTTTTTATTTTAAATTAAACCAGATTTTGAACATGTGTTCACATGTACAATACTGTATGAATATGGTGGTTAAGTTGGGATATACTGGGCGATGATTTTTCCACCGTTGTAATGGACTCTCGATACAGGTGTACGTGTAGATGAGCCATCTCCAATTAATTGATCAAAAACACACCATGGATTTAAGTCATCTTTATTGGTTTCTTTTTCTTGTACTTGTTGAATACCCTGCACTTTAAATGGTGAATCCATAAATGTACATAATGACAATGTGCCACACTGTTCTATCCCTTTACATCTTTTTGCTAAACCCTATATTAGTAATTGTACTACGTCGGATACTATGGATGTAAGGTTGCCGTTTGCTAAAATTTTATTGCAAGATTCTTGCAGGCGGCGTACCATAACAATCACTGAACTACCCTTCAAGTATTTTTGGTCACTCATTGTACTTGTTATTTCTTTAAACGGCCGTAAAATTTGGGAAAGCTGAGAATAAATAATCCAGTGTTCTTTATTTAGATTAGGTTTAAGTCTAAGTCTGTATTATTTAATACTGATGTGGAACGGATTGCCTCTTCTAACTCGGTCATTCTTTTTAACCTGTAATAGGTAAAGTTTGGGAACTTTGTTATGTTGTAATTAATATTTTAAAAGCCTTTCTGAAGTTAAGGTACTTTTTTTAATGTGTTTTTTGCAGAATTGTCGAAAAAAGGACTTTTTATTTTATCTATTATCAAATCAGTTTTGACATAACATTCCTGAAGTAATGAATCTGACAGTTTTTCTTGTTGGCGGTTTATATCCAGGAATCCATCCTGCAAACTTTTTAAAAGCTGGTTCTTCACCTAGTACAAGAAAAAAAAACTGATAAAGATGACTTAAGTCCATGGTGTATTTTTGATGAATTAATTGGACATGACTCATCTAAACATACACCTGTATCGAGAGATATACAAGAAGTCGACATGTATTTGTCTAATGATATATTACCCACAATAAATTTCGAACGGAGATTGGAACTGTCCATTACCGTGGTGGAAAAACCATCGCCATGTATATCCTAACTTAGCCACTATATTCATAAAATATTGTAGTATTGTAACAAAATCTTTTCCTTGTGAACACATGTTTAAAATCTGGTTTACTTTTAAATAAAAGAAGAACACGGTTAACAATAAAAGTGGAAAAACTTGTTTTTAAATGTCAATTTAAACGATTCGCGGTTTAATAATAACGTGTAATGTAAATGTAAGTACGATTTAATGTAAATGTAAGAACTATTTGTATTGTTTAATTTATTTTTCAAGTTATAATAAATATATCCTTCGTTAGGTTCTTTCACTTCAATACTTATACACATAAACGATAATAGCCAATATGTTTGTGTACTCGCTAATTTGAATACTGGTAAACAATCAACTAGTTACAGTTTACGAAAAACGGTTCCGATAAAAATTTAAAAAACGAGAGGACTCACCTCTAGTTTTTTAGGTATATTAGGATCGGAACCAGAGAATATGTAAAATATCTCTGATCGGAACTATTCGTCTCACTAATGGGCAATGAGTGTTAAAATATTTATGGAGGGGAGACCAAGGGGAAATATGATTGTTGTCTTTGTCTATTCGCTGAAAATATGATTTTATATCTGCGTTAGATATCCTGTTAAATTTCACCATACCGACCATAAACTTTTACCTACACTGTATACCCAGGTATGGATTTATTTTTGTCCAAGTTTTATATTGGTCCACTATTTCAAATGCAGTTCAAACAGACATATATTAAATTGTATGTTCCGTTTTAAATTCGTTCTATCTTTAGGTCATATGACAGTGCAGAGATCTTTTGTGTAGTCATGATGCCAACATTATTAAATTTATAACTATATATCATAGCGAAGTAAATCTTAGTAAGCATTTAGATCCAAAAAGATTCACATTAGTACAAACAATTTTGTACAATCCTTACAATTTCTGCCACGAAATTCAAGAAAAATTTTTGTTGATATATTTTTTTTGATATGATATTTGTAGAATTCAACCCTAAATTTTTGCCGATATTTTATATAGCTTTTTTCATATAAAAAAGCTTGCATGTTATTCAAGATTTACATCGTCAGAACCTCACAGCGTTGCCAACACATCAGATTAGTTATTAAGGGAGGAATTTTTAAAATGTCAACTATTTGTCAAACTATTATATTAACAGTAAATACACTTAGTTTTAAGACTACTGCAAAACGTTAAAATACATAAGAAAACATTTTAATAAAAAATTATACATTCTAAATTTTAAACTTACCTCTTTCAGGGCTTTAATAGTAAAAACGTCCCGCCATTATTTCTTGTTCAAAATAATCTACCTTATATGAAAACCTATCAGCTTTCTACAGACTATTTATTGGCATAGCACAATCACGATACACAACAATAATTAGTTTTAAAGCTATTAATCTAAATTTAATATGTATTTATATATACAATTAATTAATATATATTATATTATGATCAAATTGTGTAAGAAATCAAAGCAAACAAAATTCCTACTCTAAAAAAGCGGCAACACTTTATACACTTTTGTCACACACTTAACTGTCAATAATAACAAATGTTTTTGGTTATTTTATCAATATAATTATAAATTTTCCAATATAGTGATGATTACATCTTTCTGAATTTCTGAAAATTTGAACTCCAAGGTTGATGTTCTAGAAATTTTAAATACAAGTGACGTCACTTTGTATAAATCGTGACGTGCAAGTGTTTTACTTTGAAAATGGTATATAACAGTGCCGTTAAGTATCAAGATTCCTCCAACATTTTGTCCCAAAAGTAAATATTTATCAACGAGTAATAGACAACATTTCTCGCCTAAGGGTTTAAAATAGCAATTTAAAGCAAATCTTTAAATTCATAGTAATAGAAATTACATTGGAAATAAATAAGTTTTATTTACAACACACAGGTTTACAATGTTATTTTATGCTCTCTATTATTCAGTTACAAACATTATTTACAGTGTAAGTGCCAAATCAATCAATCCAATAATATTGAAAAATAGCTTTTGTACAATAAATCATTTAAAACAAAAAAAAATGTTTTAGGTCTGTAAACGATGCTTTACAAGAAGAGATAATTTAGCAGAGCATTTAAGAAATCATGCAGGGCAATCTAAAAAGAAAAAGAAATTCACTTGCGAATATTGCCATAAGGAATTCCAGGGCGTAAATTTGCTTAACATTCATGTTAGAACTCATACAGGTAAACTATCAGCTAATTTATTTATTTATTTAAAAATTCGACTTCCTATCGTCCGTGACTAAAGAACAATTACAAATTACGATACATAATTAAGTGTCGTAAATTCGTATATACAAACAAAAAAGGAAAATCATGAAAATCAATAACTAAGGTTGTAATAAAAACTTCTTTAGTTGTGGACAAAATATGTTACAGTATTGTATCACCTATTACTGTATCTATGTGTATAAAACAAAGTCGTAAATCGTGTTAGGCCACTTATAACTATCCCTTACAATTAAGTGTCTAAGGGGGACTTAATAATTGTGATATTAAGTCCCTCTTAGAGAGTTAATTGTAAAGTTAATGAGTTTTTCTTAAGTAATATTCTGTGTTAATGAATTGGAATTAATAGCATGGACCACTGGGTTGTTAGGGTTAGCTAAACCATAGCTGGGTATGACAAAAGTAGTTGCTCGCGTTTAAGAAAAATGGGCAGTTCGTGGAATTCATGTTCGAGTGTCTTGGTTGAGCTGGATCTGAATGTCGCGGCACAGGCACGGATGGTTGTATTGTGTACCGTATATAGACTTCGTAATAGAGATTATCAAGCTGAATGGTAGATTTGGCTACCGCAATCAATTTTAGGTTGAATTTATGTTCTGTATATTCTAAGAACTTCTTCGTCTCATCCAAAATTATGCTGCGAAAAGTATTTAAGGATTTTCAACCGATTTAAACAAAATTTCTTTTCATGGACACATTGTGTCCGTGTTACTTTTAATATCATTTCTAAACCTTTCTCAGTTAGATATTTTTCATTTTGTGTCAGGATCAGATGGATTAAATTGGAGGAATAATTAAAAATAATTATTGGGTACTGAAGACTATTATATAGAATATTGATGATTTGCTTGTTATTTGATTATACTATACGATTTATTGATGAAAATGTTCCGAATTGAGTGTTGAAATGTATGCTATTACCAGTATTTAATACGTACAAACCTGGATAGTTTATTGCACATTATATGTCGGCTCTGAATCTAACATGACATTATGTCCATTAAAATCGCAGACAAAAATGTCCGGACTGGGTAGTTATCTTAATGCCATAATGTCTTTAGTTATAGAGTTAATTATGTCTTTCGTTATATAATTGTTCGGAGAAAGTTATATACTGCAAATAGTGATATTTTCGGGCATCAGACATTTACTGCTAATAGTATTTTTTATTTCGTCACATAAGGCGGATTTTGGAAGGTTTTCAGTTTTTCGATTCTTTTTTTCTTTTTTTACCGTTTGTATGTCTATAGGCGTGTTAGGAGGCGGCATGGCGCGTGTCTTTGTAAAAAATTACTATTATTTCATCGCACCTTATGCATTATAGTTATGTAAAGTATATGCTTTGATTACTATTTGCAATGTCACTGTGTTTTGGAATTTGAATTAACGGTTTTTAAACCCTTGATGGTTGTAATGGGTTATTTAAAAGATATAAAGTGTTATTTTCTGCAGGATACGGCAGCAACGAATATTTAATTAATTTAATAATCAAAATGTTTAAAATCGCCTTCATCTTGGAATATTATAGCTTGCTCTTGGGGGAAATGTGGGTTTGATAATGTTTTTGCTGCAGAAGAGTATAAAGGAATATTAATTTGCGACATTGTTTTTGAATTATCGGTAAGTGTACTGCGTGAATGTTGCTGCTCGTGTAGTCACAAGGAGCTGTCTGTTCAGGGTTAATAAATTTTCATTTATAAGTAGATGGTTAGGTACCTTCTATACATTTTGTATGAATATTTGGTCACCTAATCAATATAAAGGAATAGGTCGCCGTTTAAAGTAAATATCTTTTATCAACTCATTTTAAAAACACTATACTCGGTTCACAATTTGTTGATAGCTCACTACAAGTTTAATCATAATTAGAGAACTGAAATACAGAGAGGATAGGTAATACGATATAATAGTAAAAACCAACCTGAAACTGACGGTTTAAGATGTTTTCGACTAACCCACCTTGTATCTGCAGTAATACAATACAGCGGTCAACCTTATAATCCGATTATAAAGGTATTTTGGCTGACCAGTGTCGTAGAGTATATGATTGAAATATTGATTTAAACTAAATAAATATATTTTTTAAATTGTATTTTTGTTTTAATAAAACTTCTTTATTTTATTCAAAAATAAAAAGTTTCTTGCCATCTGTAAAAGATACATTTATTTAACTAAGGGGAAAGGCGCCAAATGTCGGCTGGCAAAATTTTCAATGTGTTTTAAATTTATCCATTATTTTCGAATCCGGAGAAAACTAATAAATATTTTTGAAAAATTTAAACGCAGAATGAAAGATTACATTATTACTGAGGGCAGAAAGTCCCTGAAAACTTCTACAATGTTTATTTTAATATGTTATGTAACAGGGCTGAAAATAAAAGAGAAAATATGGTATAATTTTTAATTGAAAATATTGCATGCAAAAGAAACTTTTTATTTATTCTGCCTTTAATTTTTCAAAAATGCTTTTTAGTTTTCTCAGGATTTGAAAAAAAAATGGATACATTTAAAACACATTGAACATTTTGACAGACGACATTTTGCGCCTTTCCTTTTTAACACCTTACGATTACAACTACTACTACTTACCTTATATAATTACGATTAGAAAACTATTCAAATTCAAAATAAATAGGATCAACCTCGGAATCCGAGTCGTCTTGAGGGTTAATAATTAGCGGTTGTCTGTATACGGTCGCATCAATTATGTTATCAAGATCCCACATTTTTTGTTTTTCTTCTATTACATGTCTTACTGCATCTTTCCAGTTTTGTTCTGTAATGTGTTGTAAAGACTCAGGTCAAAGTATAACAATTCACGTACAGCTTGTATTTTATATGACGTATTTTTCTAGCCATATAACTTTTCATTTGTGCCCAAATGAGTTCAATTGGATTTATTTCGCAGTGGTAGGGTGGAAGTCTAAGGACTGTGATGTTTCGCCTTTCCGCCATTTTGTCAACTACGTATTTCTTGAACTTAGATTTGTGTTGCCGGGCAATTTTTAAAAGTTCTGCTTTTACCATTCCATCTTCGTAAGGCAGATACTTATTCCGCAGCCAGTCAAGAATATCCTGTTTCTTCCACGCAGTCGTTGGACGTCTTTCTACTAGTCGTGAATGATAAGGTGCATTATCTAATACTATAATTTAATTTGGTGGTATGTGTTCAATCATCTGCACAAAATACTCTTCGAAAACATCAGCTGTCATCTCCTCGTGATAGTCTTTTGTGCTTTTGGACTGAAATTCCAACAAAGCATGCTTAACAAATCCTTTTTCACTGCCAATGTGAGAAATTATTAATCTACTGCCTTTACCAGAAGGTGTGGGAAGATAGCAGTAGACCAACCTTCCATAAAGGCTTGCCTGGAGCTTAATATATTTTTATCTGACCAAATTTTTTTTAGAGTATGACCTGAGTTTACCCACGTTTCATCCTGGTAGAAGATTGGCCTTCCTTCAGCCCGAAATTTTCGTATGGATCTTAGACAATTTCTTCTCCAACATATTATCTCCTCCCGGTCAATCAAAAGTGATTTTCTGTCTGATTTCTCCCACCGGAAATTTAAATCTTTTAAAACTTGCCACAATTTAGTTCGTCCGATATGAGGCAAATCCGGATCGTCTCTAACTTCTTGTAAAATTTTATTTAGGTTTGGTATTTCTTTTTTGAAAAAAAATCCATGAATTTTCCTTCGAATACCATTTTTGGCAAATTCATAAATTTCAATAGGCTTTTTCCCTCTCTTTAAGTGTTCGTTTGTGTTTGGGTTAGCTATACTGTGTTTTTTTCTTTCTGATAGGAACCTATATATATATATATATATATATATATATATATATATATATATATATATATAGTTGAGTCCCCTACGCCAGTCATGTTGGCACAACTTTCGACTATGTTGCGAACAGTGTTTGTGGGATTCTGAGAAACCAGAGCATCGTGAACATTCAAGACAATAGTCTTCTCTCTTGGTGAATAGACATACTTACTGACTGTACGCAACAGTACCGGTGTAAAACTTGATGATGTTGATGATGAAGCCACCACAATCAATCCAACAAAACGTGCACGAGCGAAAGGTATATGTTCGTAGGTATATGGAATAAAAAATCACTCACGCATTGCGTATAATTCGCAAAAGAAATATTCGAGACGCTAATTACTGCCGTAGACGCGGAAACACCGACGAGCCGTAAATTACATGCGATCAAAAACGTACTAAACAAAAAATTGTTTTCGTTTGTAATAACTTCACCCTTTCAATTTAAGTTTCGAATATAAACTAAACAGACGAGGCATGTGGCCAAAGCCGGCATCTATACCCATTATATTATTAAAAATCTGGGGAATTCCATCCTAATTATCTTGAAACGGATAGTACCTTCGGATATTAATACTAGGTTTTCTAGTAAAGTAATTAAACGCGAAGATTAGTATTGAAATATCCAAAGAGACAAGATATTCTTATTTACAAAATTGTTAATGGTTAAATTATTATTTTTATTAATATAATATAATAACCAACATTAGCCGTGAAAGTTTTAATTGTTTTTTGCTAAATATATTAGTATTAAAACATTATTAATATTAATTTTAATGAATAAACACCTCAGGAACGCCTATGATGATACAAATTTAACGACCGTTAGATGACTTTAAGGCATATTTCGTGCTATCAACAAATTGTGAACGGATAATAAAAAGTCTTTACTATGAGGTAACATTTACAAATTATATTTTGTCTATTTGTTAATGTTTACTGATTTAGGATACGATTACACTTACGATAAGTTTTTTCGTAAACAATTGGCCTCTGAAATATCTTTCTACATTTTTCATCAACCGACCAATTTTTTTTCTCTTCTCCTTTCTTTTTAAATATTCACACACTTGGTTGAACTTATTACCAGAAGGTACATTGCACTGCCCATATTATGAGCTCACT